GATGAATGTGGGCACTGGTAGGCAGGTGTGAAGGAGAATTTAAGTGTGGGAAGTGTCAAATAGGTAGATGTGTATGCGCACGTATGGATATGTGTGAACAGAAATATAGACATGTTGTGTTATGTGAATGTATGGATGCTTGGGTGTATGTATGCACACAATTGGCTGTGTGCCGACATATACTCCACAGATCCATACATATATAGTCATCTTATTCCAACACAATCATGACTTGTGGGACACAATAAAAGACGTGTCTGACAACAAATAGGGAAGACAAATTGGTCGATAATGACAGAACCACTCCTAGCTACACATTAGTCTCCCCCACTGGTGTGATGGTCAGGGTTGCTGGTGCAGGGTGAATCCTCCCGACTACTTCACTGACCAGTCATGTTGCAACTCAACATTTCGGTCAGGACACCAACGACGACCACCTGAAAGTGAATGCAGCTAAAACAATATGGTATGGCTTAAAACCCTCTTTCCCTTACCCACTTCCCCCCTTATCCAACAATCTTCACACTGTACTTTGAGTACAACATACAACCCCACCCCACCACTCCAACAGTCTTCTCTGAGAGCACATGAGTTTCATTGCCTATCAGGCATACCTGTGTACAGTCCCCTGCCCCACAAACCACAACAGTCTTCTCTGAGAGCACATGAGTTTCATTGCCTATCAGACATAACTTGTTGTACGTTCCCATGCCCCACCAAACAACAACAGTCTTCTCTGCATACCTGTGTACAGTCCCAAAACTGCCCCACAAACCACAACAGTCTTCTCTGAGAGCACATGAGTTTTCATAGCCTATCAGGCATACCTGTGTAAAGTCCCCTGCCCCACAAACCACAACAGTCTTCTCTGAGAGCACATGAGTTTCATTGCCTATCAGGCATACCTGTGTACAGTCCCCTGCCCCACAACCCACAACAATCTTCTCTGAGAGCACATGAGTTTCATAGCCTATCAGGCATACCTGTGTACAGTCCCCTGCCCCACAAACCCACAACAATCTTCACCATTGAGCACTTGAGTTTCAGAACATTAGAGATCCATCTGCATCAACTCTGAACAACATTAGATGAAAGAGTCCGGTGTTTCGGTGATCTGTTGCTTATGTACACCAGAGCCAATTGACCAACCCAAACTTTCACAACTGGACTGCACTATGACAAATGACAGCTAGAATCATTGTGATACAACGCTTATCATTTCATAACCATCACCACGACATGCCTCAGCTCCTCTTATTACTGAATGACAACAATAAGACCGCTATAGCACACGAGGGAAACATCCGAAATACAAGGGCAGGAGAAACATACTGGAACAAAGGAAAAGGATCGAGCGGTCTAACCTTGAGGAAAGAAGGACTAAGCTTCTGTAAATACCAGAACTTTAGCCAGGAAAGTGGCACAAACAAACCAGACCACAAATAAAACCAGAGAGTGTTAACAGCTTTGGCTGAACGTGGTTGAGTTGTGTTTTTTCTGAAGTGAAATAGAATAGATGACAGGAAGAGTGTTTCTCATCTCTTGCCTTGCATGTGCACCAGATGCAGCAGGACAATGTAAGAGCTCCAACAACTTCACCAGCTGAAGAAGGCATGAGTTATAGAAGAAATTGTTTTCTGGGAAAGAAGAGGGAAAGTAAAAAAAAAATTACCCAAACCCAAGAAGTTGAACATATGGCACCCTTATGATAGAAGCCTAGTTAACAGGTATAATAATTTACTCAATGATAACACTGAACACGTGAAGAAGAAAAAATAGTTGCCAACATCAGAGCACTTTGGAACTCTGGCTATCAATAAAAACTAGTGACCTCAATCAAACCCTCTACAAATGGTGAAACACTACAATATGAAACACCAGAAGAAGGATTTCTAGTGTTATAATTGAAGGTGAATAACCTTCCCAAAAATAATCCTCCTAAATCTGCCTTCCTTCTCTCAATTCTTATGTACTGTGTCAACATTTGTATCTGTTTTCTTCTTTGATCATACTACTTATGCCGCAAGGCGTTGCAGAGAGGCGTTATAAGTAGTTTCCTGTCTGTTGCACAACTTGTGTTTATGGACCATAGCCACCAGGTCAATCAAGAACACAATGGGTACCAGGTATATCCTGGGACCTAAAAGTATTTAGTTAGCCACATGACTCAACTTTTCCATGTGGATTCCAGAACCCCCTTTTGGGGAGAGGACGGGGAGGACAGACCCTTTCCCTATAACCTACATGCACTTGAAAGGAAAGCATGTTGACCTCTAACTGATACACAGCATGTCAGCCCAAAAATAGCAATTTTTCATTCAATAAATGACTTTCAATAAATGGTTGCACAGATCACAATTTTGTAGTTTAGAAATTATCTAAATAATCCATAAATGTCCTTTGTCTGGCATCAATCAATCAAGCAGTGAATGTCCTTGGCTTGATGAGTGACATCTGTCCCTTTTGGTGTGAGAGCTCTACACTGAGCCTAGCTAGCAGTTAGTGCATGGTGCAGGTGTGAGAGCTCAACATTGAGCCTAGCTAGCAGTTAGTGCATGGTGCAGGTGTGAGAGCTCAACACTGAGCCTAGCTAGCAGTTAGTGCATGGTGCAGGTGTGAGAGCTCAACACTGAGCCTAGCTAGCAGTTAGTGCATGGTGCAGGTGTGAGAGCTCAACATTGAGCCTAGCTAGCAGTTAGTGCATGGTGCAGGTGTGAGAGCTCAACACTGAGCCTAGCTAGCAGTTAGTGCATGGTACAGGTGTGAGAGCTCAACACTGAGCCTAGCTAGCAGAGTGCATGGTGCAGGTGTGAGAGCTCAACACTGAGCCTAGCTAGCAGTTAGTGCATGGTGCAGGTGTGAAAGCTCAACACTGAGCCTAGCGCAGTTAGTGCATGGTGCAGGTGTGAGAGCTCAACACTGAGCCTAGCTAGCAGTTAGTGCATGGTGCAGGTGTAAGAGCTCAACACTGAGCCTAGCTAGCAGTTAGTGCATGGTGCAGGTGTAAGAGCTCAACACTGAGCCTAGCTAGCAGTTAGTGCATGGTGCAGGTGTGAGAGCTCAACACTGAGCCTAGCTAGCAGTTAGTGCATGGTGCAGGTGTGAGAGCTCAACACTGAGCCTAGCGCAGTTAGTGCATGGTGCAGGTGTGAGAGCTCAACACTGAGCCTAGCGCAGTTAGTGCATGGTGCAGGTGTGAGAGCTCAACACTGAGCCTAGCGCAGTTAGTGCAAGGTGCAGATTCAATGATGATTAAACTGCCTGTAGTCTTTAGTCTGTTACTTGCACATCAAAGGAAATAAAAGAAATAAGTGAAATATTCCGGCCATATTACAATGTTGAGTCCCAGCTGCAGGTGATTTGACAGCAGACCGCCTTACATTGGTTTTGACAGTGGTATCAAGAGAAAGCAATGGCATTGAGTAAATTTGCCAATGCAGCAACAAATGCTTTGAATGTGCTGCAATTTGCCAAGATGAAAACCAGCTTAAGATAAAAGAATTGAACAAACTTTTATTATTTTAAAATTGTAAAGATTCTGTGAATTTAGACTTTAAATTACATATTTTAATTTAAAAAAAAATTTTTTAATGGGGTTACAACTGATAATATATAAATGAAAATTTGGTGACACTGAAAATACAACTGAAAGAATATCTGGCAACATTTCCTAGAAAACAAAATTCACTAAAAATAAAAATAACAGAAGCATTCAGCAATATATTGCTCTTCTTTGGTTAGGTGGCACCCAGTATCAACCTACACATATTGATGATGCTCAAATAGCCTCTCCCATCCAAGGTGCAGTGATCATCAGAGTCTCTCTGTGTGTTTTAGCATCAGTCATCTCCTGTGTTCATTCTACCTCTGCATGTGCTCACCCTGTGCTCAATTACTGGGGAATGGAAAGAGGGGGGGGGGGGATGTATGAGTGCTAATGTTGATAGCTAACAATATATCCAGATGGGATGCATTTCAGTTCTCTAAAGATAAAAGGCACCAAATTTACTGACAAGTAAATTATGCCATCTAGCACCAAACCAAACTCCAAATCTTGACAACACATCTGTTATATCTATATATAAATATCTGTAAATCGAGTAGCATTTTCTTGTTTGTTCTTGTCTACACTGGAATGCCAAAGTCAACTACAGGACAAATAAACAGGACTACCTCCATAGCTCAGCTGTGAGAAACAATGTCATCTGACATTGCACTCAGGCTAGCAGCTTGATCGACCTTTGACATGACATGTGACATGAGAAGTGATGGTGTCATTATTTAAATATCAAGGTAAGAATGAATCAATGTTAGAGAAAATAATGAGGAATAGAATGCAGTCTATGACATAATCATAGCGATAAGCTCAGATATAGAACTAGAAAATTAAACCTGCCCTCCCCCCCAAAATAAAAAGTGCTTGTAACAAGTGAGAAATGCCTGATGATAGTGATCTTCTTCACAGCTTAACAGGAGAGTGGACAAACTAGCTGCCCCATAAAGGAAGACAAGCCTTTTGTGATAAAGACGTTTGTAAAACAAATCTGCATGTCTTCATAACTGCAATGCCCTTGACAACTGTGCCTCCCAATTCTGGAACCACAGTTTGATTCAATTCTATTCTCCTGTCCAGACTAACTGTATAATTAATGTGCACCACATGAAAAGTGTTCCTTCCTTTTAGTAGACGGCACATGAATGACATCTCAATGGTTTGTTGTTTTTTTTTCAAAATCTGTATTAACACAATATAGCATCCACTTATAATGTTCCAAGCTAATATATAAATACGGTAGTTTTATTAACTTTTTACAGCTATCACATTCTTTCAATCATAAAAAATGTACAAATGACATAAAGTGCTGACAGTCTCTCTGTAAAGTGGCACATTAGATATTGTACTGAAAATATCATTACGAATGCACATTTGAGCAAATGTGACTGAATCAATGACTTTACTTGTGGATATGAAGTATTGTAATTAATATTCAATATTCTGTTTAGAAAGGGTTCAGTCTAACAGGCTGAATACTTTCTGTCAATGAATCCAGCAATCTCTGGCCTGTGATGATACTGGTTGTTGCCACAATATAATCTGTACCACCTGAAACAATTAACATTACCATATTAAAGAGATACACAGAGCAACTTTTGTAACATTGTGATAAAATCTAGTCTCACAAACTGCACTTATCAACATTATAATTTTAATCATGAATCCATTTTGTACCAAACATCTTAATCTGCAAATCCTAAGTAATTATTTCACTTTCAGTTTTCATTACTCCCTTGATCAGATATAACATTTTTGTCCACTGTGTCCTAGGTATTTCTTTAACTCCTTCATTCTATAAAATTATTTTAACTCCTTTTTCTGGTTTCTGAGTGTTACCGTGTTTAAACTGCCCAAGGCTCAAATAGTTAATCTTGTGAAAACAATTCACACCATAGTCACCATGCAATGTTTACTGGGGGTCCATAAGAGAAGCAAAGAAAAACAGCTGTAGCCCATCAGGGTTTTTGTCAGAGTTCACTATAAGGTGGGTTAGTGTGGCTAATGCCATACAAAAGTCAATCACAAGCCCACAAACGACTTCAAGTAGGTTGCTAAAGAGCTATGCTGGCTCCACTGGAAGACCAAAGGCATAAGAAGACATCTTGATTGTGACCGGCTGATCCGACTAGTTTCTTACCTATCAATGATTGCTTCATAATAGCAATATTAGAAATTTCTTAATTTTTAAGTGAAGAGAGTCAATGAGATGTGGGAGGATCAACCTAGAATTAGTTTCTACAGCTTTCCCTTTCAATGTCTTCCTGTTAGCCCAATCAACTTCCATTTCAAACAGAGACAGCTCAAATATGTCAGTGTACCCCAGTTAGTAGTCAGAAAATCCCTACCGGAGGTGAGTGAATAGTTATCATTATTCTAGTTTGATCTATTGCTGCTAATTGCTCTGAATTCATGTTATCTGGCGGACTCTAGAAAATATGCTGCCGACATGTGGGAGAAACCTTGATAAATTTCTTTGTCCTTACTAACCATTTTTATGGTCGAGTATGTACAAGTATGTAAACATACGATATATTTGATGACTGATATATTGTTTATTTGCTACTATAAACGTGAATTGGTGTATTTGATTTTTAAAATTATATTGAATAACTGATGTCCTCGTGTGAAATCTCAGGCCATCCCGAATTACAGCATAAAGATAATAAAAGATTCCCTTTCACGCCTTTCTGCGCATTGAGAATATGGGAAGAACACACATATTTTTACACGACCAATCGGCACTAGATGGGTAATGTGGTCAGTATTGTGCCGGTCGTCTTTACTTCCCCACGACATATATCCTGATACCCATTTTAGGCTGGGTCAACCCACGACGCCCCCACACCATAATAAAAATCTACGCAGCCAGGAGTGGGTTTCGATCGCGGTACGTTGGAATTATGAGTCCGATTCGCAACGCCTGAGCCACAGACGCCGCTCGATTTACAGCATGGTGAGATTTTATTAATGAAGGAAATGCATGTGTATTCACTAAACCTAATCCTTTCTAAGTTTATTTCACCTCATGCTGAAGTTAGGTGATAAATCACTGTCTTGCTTTGATTTAGTCTAGAGAATTCTGAGACTAGTTTAAGAGCCTGAAAAGGAATACCATGTGGTGGCTTGATTTATTAGATTTACACAGTTGGAGAAGAAGAAGGAAGGTGTATAGTCCATGCTTGTACTAATCAATAACAACTTCAACATATGCATTTTTCATTTTAATTTAATCAGAATTATCACTGGAGCTACGGAGCACGTACTCTGCGCTTGACATCTTCAGCAAGCAGTGTAGGGAAGAAAACGAGGAAATGGTGAGAGAAGAAATCAGAGAAATAGAAGGGCAGGAGCCAGGAGATTTAGGCGAAAAACAGAATGGCTGATGTGCGCTTGTAGAACTGTCATAGTGCCAGAGAGAGAGGGCCCATATTAGAAAGGTTGATTTACAACTCAATCATGCTTCAGGAGCCGAATGCAGATAAATATCATTGTCCTGGATATGCCAGCCACATAAAACCTGCTGGACATCATAGGAGACATGGGCAATGTCTCGAAACATGCGGTGATTAACTTGAGTCTCTGCAATAATGATGCTAGAGAGGTGCAGGCAATACAGATGGAGATTGGTGGCCTATGTTGGAACATAATAAATGTATATGCTGTCGTGGGCTCTTTAGTTACAAAACAAGAGTGGGATTGGCTGAAAGATCTGGAGGAGATTCCTGGCAACTGGTTCCTTATTTGTGGGGATTTCAATGCATGGAACAATGAAAGGGACAGTACTGGTGAAAACCGACAGGGAGTTGTCCTTGCTGACGCCATGGTTGATTCAGACCATGTCTGTTTAAGTGATGAGAATGGCAATGAGACTCGGCGATGCAGACACTGCTATTGACCTGGCTCTGGTTACCCAGTCAGCAGTACTGGACACCAAATGGACTGTCCTAGGCGATCAAGGAAGTGACCATCTGCTATGTTCGGTATTGATCTCCAAATCTAGGAAAGTCAAGGCTTCAAGCGCTCACAGGCCAGGCCTTTCCAGTATGAGTGGTCTAAACTCCTTCTTGGACGTCCTCCGATAGAGGGCATGTAAGAGGGCCGGCAGATCTATTTTTGTGCAGCCTCCATGGTGGACATCAAATGTTGAACAGGCATGGAAGTTAAAGAGAGCTGCAGTAAAGCGTTTAAAGATGGTGTGACAGACAGCCCTAAGCTCACAGGAGGAGTTGGAGTGTGCGCAGAGAGATAAGAAAGATAAGATAAAGTTTTTCAGGTGCTGTGCGGAAGAGGCCAAAAAAACCAAAATGGGAGCATTTTATTGATGAGAATGGGAGGGATAAGACATTGGAAAAGTTTTAGAAGCTTCATAGGCAGATGTTCAAGAAAGATCAGTTCAGCATAGTAGGAACAATTCAAAGAGATGACGGTATGCTATTAACTACAAAGAGAAGGGGGAGGCTTTCCTGAAGACATTCATTTCACGGACAGACCACAACGAGGAAGGTAACAGAGATACAGTTAGAGAAGATCTGGCAGCCATCTTAAAGAACAAACATTATGAAGAGATCACACAGGTGGAAGATGTAAAACGTGTTCTAAAAAAGGCGAAAGACATTGCACCCGGGTCCGACGGGGTTAGAAATTCCCACATGAATAACATTAGTGATGCAGACCTGTTGGAGATGACTGCTTGCTTCAATCAGAGCATTAGGACAGCTTCAGTCCCAGAAGAGTGGATGCATAACTACCTGATTCCACTTCCTAAACCTGGCAAGGACAATTCAACATTCAGCAGCTTTAGGATCATAACCCGACAAAACAGCTTTGGTAAAGTGCTGGAGAAGATAGTGACAGGTGAGCTACAAGAATTTTTGGAACAGAGAAATCTCCTTCCATGAGGATTGGGAAGTTACAGGTCGGAGAAGGATGTGTGGTCAAATGCAGCCACTTTTGCAGGTTTCCAGATCAGACGGGAAACGGTGGCAGCGGCACTTGATTTAGAAGACGCTTACAACAGAGTCAGATACAGTATCTTGGTTGGTGAATTGGATAGCAGTTGTTTTGTATACTCCGCCTGGGTTCATGGACCTCTGAACCATGTATTATAGCGCCAGGACTACCACTGGGATCTGCAATGTCACCCGTGCTGTTTAATGTTTTTAAGAGCAAGACGGCCTGCATGGAAACACCTGGAGTTGGCAGAATATTGACATTTGCAGATGATGTTCTCGTATATAGGAAGGGGAGAGATCGGAATCAAATAGCTGAAGAGTTACAAACGACAGAAGATGAGGTGATGTGACTGGTGTACAGAGATGAGTGCTGTAATCAAGCCAGAAAAGGCAACCGTTGTGTGGTGTTCTTTGGACTTTGTTCACACTTTCCCAGCATTTAATTATCTCAGTGGCTGATTATGGATTGGGGTTACTCACTGTCTCAAAGAGTCAGCTAGAGAAACTGGAGCGCACACAGAATGAAGCTATGCGGCTGATCCTGGGATGTACAAGAGACACCCTGATTATGTGCATGCGATACATCCTTGCATTGCCCACTATTGCAGAAAGGCTTAAGATGCTGCAGGCTAAGTCATACCTCAGAGTAGCTACAGACAGGGAATACCCTCAGTATGAAGCTTTGGCTGCAGGTAAGGGTCAGAGACTGAAAAGGGGCAAATTGTGGATGGCTCAAGCAGAAGACACAATAAGACAAGTGTGCATGCTGGAGAACATTGAGCGAGGAGAGGAGTGGGTCAGAGGTTTGAGCAACGGATGAAAATCATGGCACACGGGTAGTAACCCATAAGTGCTCTGTTCTACTTCTAGCTCAAGTTTGAGTCCGAAATAACTTAGTGCAGTGCACAGGCTCTGTAGCACCGACGAGGATCCTGAAATATTTTGTGTAGATTTTCAACATAAATTTTGCCTGAGCAGCGCTGTTAGGCTACTCTTTTTGATTTCCAACTGCCAAGAGATTTTTTTACATGGGCAACGGGCGTTGGATCTCATTACTCAGAGACCAGGAGAAATTACTAGAAGTCCACATGCACAGAAAAAATCTCAGCCTTAACTGAGACATGAACCTGGGACCTCTAGCATTCAAGGCTGACACCATACCTCGAGACCAAGCAGAGTGGATCAGAGTACCAGCAGAAAAAAAGTCTTACCTGTGTAGGGTTATGATCATACTGGGCCGGGTGTACAGAGAGTGGCCAGCGGGTGCTACAGAGGTTCAAGTCCGACAGTTGATTCACGACAATTTACACCCAGGTGATCTGATTATCTATACAGATGGTTCAGTGTTGAGAGAAAAGCTAAGTGCCTGGGGGTTCGTAGCGAAAGCCAATGGAAAATCTGTATTGCAAGACAGCCTGGCATACGACACCACAACATCTAGCATGAGAATGGAGGTGGAGGCTGTAACTGCAGCTCTCCGGTGGTTAGAAAACAAAATGCATACGCATGTTGTAGCTGTAACAAAATGAGAGCATGCTGAGAAAGGGGAAGACGGATGCTTCGATCAGAGCAGCAAGCTTCACTGGAAAGGTCACG